GTGTGTGTGTGTGTGTAGAACCTCAGTGAAGGAAACAGGCAGCTGATAATAACTCAGGATGCTGCTTTGCTCAGGAGCCCTGATGAACGGATTCCAGACTCACTCAGGTAACATGAATTAGTCCTGTTGATATAATGTGGTCAGAGTGGTGATTTTTATCAGTTTATATCCAGAAATGATCTTTGACTCAGTAGATCTGTAATAGTTTCTACCAAGCTTACATGCTAAACTGATTAGTTTTTCTTATTTACTTAAAAAAATAAGTTTGTCAAAAATCTATATTTACTCATATTTTAGTTGATTCAGGCTTTTGTATCTAACCATTCTGTGTGTGTGTGTGTGTGATCAGGACCTATGAGCAGGTGTCTGATGTGGGCCTGTTCCTGTTCAACGATGCTTTGGTGTTGACGCGGCGAAATGTCTATCACACACCTTTCACGCTGGCTCACCGGAGTGCACACACTTTCCTGGCCTCTGTGGCTCTCGCCAGCCTGGCTGTCAGAGAGATCACACATACACGCTGTGAGATTTTACTGTATAAAGACTAAAATATGAACTGAATACTGGCACAGCTTTTATAATGTTAAGTGTGTGATCATTAAAGTCTGATCAGTTCAGTTACAGGAATATGTTTGTCTTTCTCTGTAGATGTGAGTCATGCCTTTGTCCTGGAGGGCCCTTGTCGTTCCTGGGTTTGTGCCACAGAAAGAGGTGAAGAGAGAGAGCACTTCCTGTCCGTGCTGCGTTCAGCCATAACCTCTGCTCTGACAGGACATCAGTGACGATACACCGGCAAGAAGAGAAGAGGTTTGGACAGCACTGTTGGTCCTTTATGTTAAAAAGTTAAAGAAAAGGTCAGGAAATCTGAAAGGCAATTACTTTCCCACATCATGATATGATGTAAATACATAGCGACTCCTGCCACAGTTTAAATGGTGTTCTGAGTGTTCACTAAAACATTTCCTGAAGTAATCAAATAGTCAGCATAAGGGGATAGTCATTTTTTTGTTTTTGCAACATTTGCCCATTTTACCCAGTTCTGCTTTTAATTAGCTGCTTCAATGTATTATGGCAACCAGTATCTCAGTTGCTATGTTTTTATACTTCTTACCACTTCCTCAAACCGAATGCGTCACTCACTAACTCAAAGACAGCTAGATATGTTTAACCCCCTCTACCAATTGTTAAAAAAACATTGTTTATACACGCATATTTTGATATACATAATACCTGAACAAAAAAGCGTCCTGGTAGCTCACCTCGTAGAGCGTGCACCCCATGTGCTAATGCTGCGTCTGTACCGCAACGACACAGCTTCAGTTCCAACCCGTGGCCTTTTGCTGCTCTCAATCCACTCTCTCTCTCTCTCTCTCCCCTAAGTTTCCTGTCTATCTACATCTGTCACTATCCAATTAAAGGCGTAAAAAGGCTTTAAAGAAACATGATTGATGTTGATTAAAATCTAAGATCTAGTTGCACTGTAACCTGTAATAGCTGAAAGTAAAACGAGTAGTTTTGTTAGTTTTTATGAACATTATGAGTGTTGTATTAGAAAGTGGTTTGGACTGTGTTTGTCTGTGTGTTAAACACTCCATGCGTACCTGCTGCAAACTGAGAAAGCAGTTAAAAACCAATGAAACCAGTAACATTAGCTAGACAGTCCTAGCATCACAGGTTGCATTACTCTTCGACAATCAGCCCTTTAAATGTCAGCTCTTAATGCAGAAGTTATCACGTCATATTACCTTACAAATGTCATATTCAGAGACCTTTTGTTGTTGTTTGCACCACTTATATTTCCAAATTATTGACATAGGAAAATTCCAGTTTTCAGTGTTATTAAATTCTAAATGTTACAATCTATTTTTCAACTTTTATTTTATAAAAATGTTAAATTCACTTTGATTTACATAATTATATATATATATATATATATAAAGCATCAAGGTAAAGATATTTTCTATAGTTCATATTGTTTTTATAATCAGATCAGAGACATTTCTCTAGTTCCAGGTATAAAAAGTCTTTATTGATAACCAAAAATAACACAAATGTCACATTTTAAAGATTATCACTATCAAGGATCTGCATTACAACACATCACTTATACACTTATGTACATTATTGCCACTTATTTAAAAAATATCCATGTGTTCCATCCCTAGAAATGGATAAATGGCTCTGATCATCTGTACGTCTCAACAGATAAAGTAATTAAACATCAATAGAAATGCTAACAATACAAAGAAACATTAATTTTCTTTCGACAACATAACCATGTAACATATTTAATATTCTATTATTACCCTTGATTTTAAATTATTATTATCACAGTGACATCTTCACACAAATCTGTGACAGTATATATGAAATTAACATAGAAACTACTTTCTAAACTATTCTGTAAGTTTATTTACAACTAATACAGTGTGTACACATTGAACATAATACACAAAACTCAGTTGCATTTTGCAGTCTTGGAGCACCACAGATGAGGATTAGGTAGTAATGAAACAGTAGAATATAGCAGTACTTTGACAGTTTTCACAGTTATTTTTCTTTTTCGCTTATTATTTTAGATTTTTAGACATATTTAGTAACTACGAGGATGTTTTTAGTGAAATGTACTGAAAGCTGATGTTCGGTCACAGTCTGCGGTTCATTAGATGTGGGTTGTTGTTGTTGTTGTTGTTGTGCGCTGCCGGCATGTGTGTGTGCTGCTCTTTGCCAGTGGCGAGGTGACTCTGTGGTGACTGACTCTTGTTCTGCAGTCCCACGTTGGCCGCTGTGCTGTTTGTCCCTTTCTGGGAGCTGTAGCCTTTCGGTTTGGGGATTCTCGTAGGTCCTGGTCGCCGGAATGCTTCTAGAGGGATCTGTGGAAAAAGAAAACAATGAAGTCTGACCAAGAGTTGTTTTATATATATGTATGTATGTATGTCTATATACTGAAGTTTTAAATACTGTGCTGAGACCAATGAGGAAGAAGTGGAGAGAAAAAAAAGGATATCCAGGGGGAGAGGGTTATAGTTTTCTAAGAGTTTTGACCAGATTATGACCATAATTTGGACTGAATTGTTTCCAGTAGCTCGGTTGAGATGGGATGCAACACCGATAATGGCCACTAGGTGATATCAAATCATATTTTATGGAAGTTTTACTGCATGACTGCTGCACTTTGTCCCCAAAAGATTTCCTTTTGGAAGAAAAGAAGCTTTCTTTTTCAGTTTTTTATTCAAAATAATTAGATATGAGACAATTTAGTCTTTCAGTTCTGTAATTAAATATCATTTTAATTGTTTAATCAAATGTTCCCAGCCTTGGCTACCACTATGGAAATGCAAAACATCCTTTCAGCAATGTTGCATATTCTTACATCGTCATATGATATATATTGTTAATTACTTTTTCTGTGGTACGTTTTTTATATCAGTGCCCTGTAAGTTCCAATAATGGGAAACCTGTAAAGCTGAAAATGATAAACTATTTTAATAATTAAATAGAAAATACAGGGCAGAAGTAGTTTCGCTATTTTTTGACATTTTATAGACAAAATGATTCATCAATTATTTGAGAAAATAGCTGAAATAGTTAATAAATAGTTGAAGCCCTATAAATGTTTTATTTACTGTATGAAAAACTCCTGATGGAAGAGATTTGTGTCTTGCTGATGGAAAACCCTTTTTGCTTGTTGTCTCTAATATAGTCCCAGTTTCTCCTATTATTAATAACAGTGTTGAGTTTGTTGCTTAGAAACCAGTGTTTGGCTTTAGCAGCACAATCTGCAAACAAGAAAAGGAAATATCATGGGAAACATCACATTTCTCAGATTCTTAAACAACTTACTGCTCCGCTTACTGTGCAATCACTTTTAAATCAGTCTGTTTACATGCGCCGCAACGTGCCAGGATACTGAGGTACATTGCCTTTGGATAAGTTCTTGTACAGTAGGAGTCGTATCCTGTTTACAGTAACTGATATGTTTCCACAATTATGAGTAACCTCAGCAACAGCTAGAATACTGAGACACAGACGCTCATCGTTCATTTCTTCTATGTTTTGTGTACTCGTGAGCAGGATGCAGTTGTTTTATGTTGTATTTGTTTCTGTATTTCTAAATCAGCTATATAAATATTTAAAATCTCAAAGGATCCACACAGATGAAAAGTCGGATGTCTGAGTCTCTACTACTTTTCAAGCTGATAATTTGCCTCCTCTAGAGACTACATTACTCTGAAAATAGTCACTGGTCACAGCTTGGTTCTTCCTTTTTTCTCAGAACCTACTTTCGCAATAATTGCGATTTGCAAAATGTGCTTGCCCTTGTACACCACCTCAAATAATCCAATTAAATTAATCTTACTGCAGCATTTTAGATATGTGTCCCTAATGGCTGTTTCAAAACATAAAGCTCTTTGAAACAGAGACTTCTTTTAGAACTGCAGTGTTAATTAGAGTCAGAAATTGAAGCTACCTCTAGTGTTTCTACATTTCTTTAGCTGAGTGAGACTGGAACTTTACAGTATTTCCATGAGTTTCATCACACCCACTGTCCTCGCTTGAGAAAATCACTTGGATATGTTCATGTGTGGCTTGAGGTTTAGAGAATTAACAAAAAACTGCAGTGAACTGTGTCCTTAAATATTCATACGGGGTATAAATTTCAGAATAAGTAGGGCTTATGCTTCAACAGAGCTAATGGGCCAGAAAATCTGTATGGGCTCCACGTCATGGGAGTGCTGTTGATTTTACATGGAAAGAGGCCTTAATGTGCGGCTTTGTTCTCTCGTATATCAGCGGTGCAGCAGGAGTTCAACTAAGTACTTCCTCTGCCTCATGCTCTGCAATGCCTGCGCTGCTGTTTCCATGGCAACCAAACATTAGGTTTGTTTTGGTGTGTGAGAGAGGCTACTTTCACAGTGTCTACCCTCACACACAGTGTGAAGCCTTTTGTTTTATAGAAAGCCCTCGTAGCACTTCTTTATTGTCCTGCCCTGATTTATTGTGCTTGTTGATCAAGGTGAGCAAATTCCTCTGCGATTATTATCATTGTGGGTGAAAACGAGGAAATCCGCTCTCGCCTGCTGCGTGACAGGCAACTTGTCTTTCTTGGCGTGCAGCGTGGTAATCAGACTCTTGGCTACAATTGATTCACATCAGTAGCTGATTGTTTAAAATGACATCACTGTGTTTGGTGTTTTTGATGTTTTGTTTTACCCTAAAAATGTGGCTGTTAATCAGCATCATTGTGAGTTTAGTGTGATTACAACTTTGTTCTCAGCCAACAGAAGCAACCATCACTGGAGCCTTTTCTATCAAATACCCTCTGGCTTCCAGCGTGTCACTTGATACTCATTTTATCAGTCTGGCAGGGATACCGTTTGGAGATGTGTCTTCCTTGGCTGAATGAGATGAGTACATCTTATGAATCGACTAAGTCTGAAGTGAGTCAGGGGGTAATTGAGGTCGCAGACAGCAAACCCAGCTGTTGGATGCTTTCTCAAGTAGTCGTCTAATGAATAGCATCTTGTTTAGCCGCTGCATCATTTCATCGTGCCCAGACTGCTTTGGATCCAGTTTCTCCAGCTGCGCTCCTTCACACTCATTCAATTTAATGCTTGATTTAATCATCTCCTCGTTGTCACACTGGGTTGTGTGTGTGCATGTTTGGGTAGGGTTCGCCACTTTTCCTACAACAGTTGTCTCGTGCCATCTAAATGACACTGAGGACTTGTATGGTTTATAGTATTTTGGAGAATTTATCAGCTCTGCCACAAAGGTACCCGTCTGCTTG